ATCTTGAAACAATATCAAGTAGTTTAATTCATCTTAAAACAATATCAAGTAGTTTAATCCATTTCTTTAATGATGAAATTGCTCCTCTAAGAACATTTTTCACTAAGTTATTATATTTATATCCTAACATCACATCTTTTAATATTTTTAGTTGTATTATCATTTCATTCATGATACTTGGTTAATTGCTAATACCAAAAAAAAAAAAATGATACTTGGGTAATTAGATCAAATTTATCGTAATTTCCTTTTCTTTCTCTAGAAATTAGGGAGTATGAATTAATGGAAGAAGTTACCAATAGAAAAATTAATTAAGGATAATAAGTATAATATTTTAAAAAATAATAAAAAATAAAACAAACGGGTCAATCCGTCAACTCGCGGTTGACCCTAACCCGACCGTGACCCATACGGGTTAATAATACGGGTTATTTACAGGTTGTGGGTTGAGATATATAGACCCTAACTCGTTTTGTACGGGTCAGGTTAAGATCGGATTGACAGATTGGGTGGATTTTTGCCAGGTCTAGTTCCTAGGAATTTCATTTTTTGAACATTATTTATGTTTCATGAATTTAATTTTTTAAAAAAATTTATACTTTTAAATATTTTTTTAAGTTTAAAAAGATCTTAAACAGTAAAAGTTCAAAAATTTAAAATCTAAACTTTTCATAAATTTTCTTTTTACTCACTTTTCATTCATTTTTTCTTATTTCTAAAAACAAAAACTCAATTTTTTCTCTAATAAAAATTTAAATTTATTACTCATAATAGTACTAAAAAAGCAAAAACTTTCACAAATTGCACCAAACAAGCCCACCGAAATAGTTAAGTTACATCTTATCTAATCTAATTATTTACATTATTTTTATAATATATTTTTAGACAAATTTATATTGTTTTATCTTTTAATTAATTAAAATAAAAATATAATATTAGTAATTAAGATATGACAATAATATTAAATATATATTAAAAGTGTAGCGAGTAAGAGTTTGAAATTACTAAATAAACATTAATGAATTAATAAAAAAAGAGTTTTATCAAGAATTTTTTAAGTAATTTAATATTTAAAATATACTTTTAATGTAAAATTTGATTTAAAAAGTATTTTTTTTCCATTACAAAATACATATCATCATCATTTAAAGGCTAGATTTAAAAATCAATACAATATTTTTAAAAATTAATTCATGAAAATCTATAATAGATATAGTTTAGATTATAGTATAGACAATCATATACATAAATCTCATAATTTAAATTTTGAAACAAAAATAATATAGTTATAATGGTATTGTAGTTTATAAATTTATCTTCCATTCTTTTAATTTTAGTAAATTTAATTTTTAATTTAAAGTGTTTAAATTTAATTGTTTACTTTACTTAATGTTTTTATTCTTATTTTACTTTAATTTAAAAAAAATAATGACAATAAATATTAAATAAAAAATTTTATTT